TGAGCTATAGGCGCCGAGCCGATATATGAATTTCATAAGTATTTCTAATGTGTTTAGGGGAAGAGGAGTAAAGTAGCTGTCGGTGGAAGCAGGGTTTCCTTAGTAAGAAAAGGATTGGAATGAAAAAGAGAACTATTTATTTTTTATATCTGATCTATTTATTTTTTATTTCCAAAGTAGGTGTGAGGTCAAAATTACTTTCTGTAGTATGTACTTATCATATCGTGTACTGTTCTAAGCATTTTATGTATATTAACTAATTTTGTCACAGCAATTATATGATAGGAACTATTATCCCCATTTTATAAAGGAAGGAATTGAGGCACAGAGTAGGTAAGTAACTTGCCTAAAGTCATGTTACTAGCAAAGTGTGGAACTGGGATTTGAACATAGGCATTCTTGTTCCTGAGCAGCCACATTCTTAAATACAGTGAAAGATGTGCAGTAAGGCTGTGAAAGCGGGAATGAATATTAAGAGATACAATAGAACAGCTAAGGTAATTGATAAGTTATCATTTCTAGTCTAAGATTAGGTTTTAGGTAGGAGGGGCTTGTTTTTTGTTTTTGTTTTGAGACAGGGTTGTTCTGTCATCCAAGCTAAAATGCAGTGGGGTCATCATAGCTTACTGCAGCCTTGAACTCTTGGGCTCAAGTGATCCTCTTGCCTCAGGCTCCCGAGTAGCTGGGTTTACAGGTATGTACCACCATGCCTGGATAATTTTTCTCTTTTTTTGTAGAGATAGGGTCTTACTATGGATGCTCAAGCTAGTGTCAAACTCCTGGCCTCAAGTAATCCTCCCCCCCTTGGCCTCCCAGAATGCTAGGATTATAGGTGTGAGCCACTGCATGTGACCCCTACACTTATATTAGATTTACCTGTGGGTTTCCTTGCAACCAAGGCAGTCCAAAATTTTGGCTTGGTAGGCATGACATATTTGGTTAAAAACAGAGGCGCATAATCCTAAATTCTTAGCTATCTTTTAAGTAGTTTTGGATCTCTTAGTTATCATGTACAGAGCCTACTTCCTTTGCTATAAAATGACACTGGAGTGCTTCCAAAAAGTGTTGTTTCTTTTAGTGTTTAAAAAGATGCATAAAGCATTTGCATCAAAATCTTCCGGAGCCTAAAACTTCATGGGGCCAATTTGGGGCCTCATTCCACATCTACTAAGTCTCAATCTCTAGAAGAGATCCCAAGATCTGTGTTTTTAGGTTCTTCAGGTAATTCTGATACACAATAAATTTAAGAATCACTCAACAAGGTTATTGTAAAGGTTATTTTCAGCTCTGAGTTCACTGTCTTGTAACTCAGTTTGTGTTACAAGTTATAGTATCTGTAATTATTGATATAAAACTCAGTTTGGTTCATTCACTCATTTTTCATTTGTTCATTCTTATTTATATAAAAAACTTTTATTAAGTAACTAATATGTTGGGGCCAATACTTGATGCTGGGGGATGTGAGTGTATAGAAATGAATTAGACACAATCTTATCTAGAAGTTTACAGTGTTAAAAGGAAAATAGATCTGTAAGAAAATAACTATCATAAAGTACAAAAACATAGGCATCAACTACCTTTCAAGAAAAGTATCTCTGTGTAGGGCAAAGAAAATTACGTAGAGAATAGGCTGTTTCCCAAGTTCCTGGCACAGTAAACTCTGTAAATATTTATTGAGTGGAATTGGATAAGTTGGTGATTGTCTTAACTAAACTTAAGTGTTATACTAGTTCTCTAATAGAAATTGTTTCCAATGTGAATGTGGACAGAATGGGGGGAAATAGGCTTTATTTTACATCAATCCTTTGTATATGAACTTGTTTCTTAAGATGCCACCGGCTC